CATGGGGAGAGAGCTGGTCGGCCCCTTTAAGGACCCTGAAGGTGTGAAAATGACCTCTGAAAAGTATGTGGAGTTTCTGACTGACCATTTTGTCCCATGATACAAAAAGTAGAACCGTGCTTCTCGTAATAAAATCATCTTCATGCATGACAATGAACCATGTCATGCTGAAAGGGATACCTCTGCATCATTGAATGCTATGGGCATAAAAGGAGACAAACTCATGTTGTGGCTGACCTCAATCCTATCGACAACCTTTGCAGAATCCTCAGGCAAAAGATCTATGAGGGTGGGAGGCAGTTCACATCCAAACAGCAGCTCTGGGAGGCTATTCTGACATCCTGCAAACAAATCCAAGCAGAAACTCTCCAAAAACTCACAAATTCGATGGATGCAAGAATTTTGAAGCTGCTTTCAAATAAGGGGTCCCATGTTAAAATGTAACTTGACCTGTTAAGATGTTTTTGATTAAAATAGCTTTTGATTTCAGTAAATATGACCTCCCAACACTGCGAATTCAACAAATGACCATTTTCAGTTCTTTACAACCTATAAAATGTTTTAAAACTCTGTTGTGCATAATAATTTGGAACAGTATATTTTAAGTTGTTTTATTTTTGAAAAGAATACTGTTATCATTGGGAGGTTAGTTCAATAACATTTAAATTATACTCTAACAGATTATGACTTGAAAATTATGCTGACTGTCATTTGCGTTGATTATTTAGAAAATCTGAGAAAAATATCATTTGCATAATAATTGGGATCAATAAAGTTCTTCTTGATCAAAATTTTTTAAATAAATAATTTGACCATCCTGGTTTTTAAGCTTGTAAAGACAAACTGACACATAAAAAAAAACATCAGGTAATCAGAATTGAACAACATTTAAATTTTTCCCTGTAAAATTACTAATACAACTCATACAATGTTAGGAAATTGCTTCCCAACATTTTGGTGATACCTATAGATTCTGAACTGGTACCGTGTCAGAGCTCTGCTCCCCTCTAGTGTCCAATATCTGTCAGCAGCACATGGACCCAGTGGACGGGTTACAGCGCAAGTTCATGTAAAGGAAGGTAAGTGCATTCAATAGCCTACAGGGTAATTTAGAGTATGTAAGAACCATAAAAAGTAAACAAAATTACAATGAAAGATAATATTTAAAAGTCATTAAACAAGGCATTTCAAGTTAAAGCAAAGAGAAAACAGAAGAGCAGAATCTGAAGTTTTCAAATATAAGCACATCAGTTAAATTGCAGTTTTGATTATAGGTATTACAATAAATTTGTAAAACTTAAGCAATCACAGGCCGCTGCAAACAGGTTTCTCCATCCTGGATTTAAAAAGACCGTGAGTTTTAGTGGACCTGATATTTTCCGAGACTGTGTTTTAAATGTATGAAGCAGCTGAAAATGCAGCCTCCCCATGTGTGATTCTGACTCTGAGGACGGACAGCAGACCTGTCCCAAATCACCTGAGCAGTCTAGATGCTTCACTGGTGTTGGGCCAGCTCATATCCACCAAGATCCAAGAATTACTTTAAATCTACAAAGGCTGTATAATCTTTCTCATCTACCTTACCATGTCAGAGCAAGTTTGACCCTTCTTTTCTCAGGTAGACTACCTCAGTGTAGATGCCCCTACTGACAACAAGAGCCCTCTCTTTCAGCTCTCCATATTTTCCTTGTTTTTGAAGCTGAGTCCTGAAATGACAATAAAGGAAACTGAATTCAACAGGAGTGTAAAGATCGCATAACTTCAGTTTTTATAAATACAAAGACAACATGCGTGAACTCCTTTTACAACACACGTTTTAGAGATACTGCTGTAAGGTCAACACATGAAGACCAGTGGTTGATTTCTCACACTGTTTATTGAAACACAGAGAAAATGATGAGGTAGGCATGGTTCTGTCTCTTTGTTGTTTCTGCAGGGGGAAAATTTGATGGAGCAACACAAAGTGAAAGAGGAGGAGGAGGGAATGAGGAGGGGAGTAGTGATGTGGGACTGTCTGTCAGTTGAAGGTCTTCTTCCATCAGCCTCCTGTAGAGATAAACCTGCTGACTGAGGATGATCTGTGGGCAGGTCACTGTGTCCTCCATGCTTCTAATACATCTCCTTTCACAAATTCTGGCTATAAACTCAGGCTGTGTGTATAAGAGATGTGGTTTTCAGGTTCAATACCTCCTTAAACAGACATCCAGGTGACAACAGCTGGCTCTTACATGCCATTTTAAAGAACATTCCTATTCCCAAGGTTGCAGTTTGACGGTTTATTTAGAAACTTTGTAGACAAAGCAGTGTTACTTCACACAAACAGAGTGTAGATTCCGTGACTTCCCTGAATGCATCAGAAATGATGGCTCTGACCTCCATTCAATGAGTATTCGAATGCTGTTTTCCTCCACTATATACAGAGAAACTGAGACCCTCAATAAACAGATAAACATGTACTATGGTGGATGGAAGAAGCAAAGCTATGATAATGTTTATCTTCAGAAATGTGTGAAGAGTTGAATCTTCTTTTTCTGTTTATCTACAAAAAACACTGGTTTGCTTCCCCGGTCATGATTTTGACAGACAATGGGGCCAAAGGTTTTTAAAATAAAACTTGATATAAATTATGGCACACTGCTACTTTTAACATACAAGGAAGTAAACCTTTGGTTCTGGCAGTAAATATTGACCACTAAAAGCTGATGGTTTATCAGAGCAGCATTTAAACAGAGATGGGTTTTGGATCATCAGCAGGGGGAGGAGTTGGCTCTGGATCAAGACCCTCATCAAGGTCATAGCTAATTGGTGAGGGATCCTGCGCAGTATCCTTGCTGTTCCTAGGACTGCACTCTTCTGGAGTGAGATGTCTGCTGTTTCCCCAGGGATCTGTTGGAGCCTCTTCTCTAGTGTGGGGGTTATTGCCCTAAGTGCCCTGATGACCACAGGCATCACTGTTGCCTTCACCTTCCAGGCTTTCTCTAGCTCCTCTTTGAGCCCTTGGTACTTCTCACATTTTTCGTGTTTCTTTTTTCTGATGTTGTCTGATTTCTTTGTTCTGATCGCTTGGGATGGCAACACCTACCACAACGGCTTTCCACTTCTGTCTGTCTATGATGACAAGGTCCGGTTGGTTGACCATTACCATTTTGTTGGTCTGTATCTGGAAGTCCCACAGGGTCTTGGCTCGGTCATTCTCCATCACCTTGGGAGGTGCTTCCCATTTTGACCTCAGGGTTTCCAGTCCATAATCTGCACAGATGTGGTACCTCAAAGTTACTGATCACCTCTGTTCATAAACATTGCCTGTAGTCAGATCGACTGGGGATGGTGCGCCACTGAAGTGAAGACTGAAGAGATGTGTTGGGGTGATACACATTCAATCATGTCATTATGCAAACACATAGCCAATCATGTCGTGCAACATCAGAGCTGTAGGATCCAAGTTTGGTACTTAACCAGTTTAAGTCAAAACTTTAATAAAACTTATCAAGTTCCTTGACATGAGCACCAAGTTTCAAACCAGTATATGGTAACGATAGCTCTTATTATTTATCTTAAGTCGATGGTTTGAATTGACAAGTGCAGAGCTGAGATATGTTCACAGAGTGGCCATCAGAGGGCAGCAAACACAGATGCAGACTGATGTATTACCTCTCACTTTAACTCAGGGGTGGGCAATCATGTGCCATGGAGGGCAGAGAGGCTGCAGGTTTTCTTTCCAACCCAAAACTCCACCAGGTGATTTCACTGATTACCTTACCTCCAAGCAGAGAGCAGGGACTAATCTGTGAAATCACCTGGTGGAGTTTTGGGTTGGAAAGAAAACCTGCAGCCTCTCTGCCCTCCATGGCACATGATTGCCCACCCCTGCTTTAACATCATACACATTATCTAATTACTGCAAATATACGTTATATTCAACATGTTTGCTTCTGCGAAAAAAAGAGGGCACTGCCAAAAACAAAAGACCCCAAAGTCAACCTCAACATCCGCTCATCAGGGCCTTTAGGCAGAGGGCTGAAAGGCTAACTTTACCCAAAGATTTTGTTGAGACATCTGAGCCCTGCAGGACTCACACTTTCTATGTGTCTGTGTGTTTGTCTTTTTAACTCATTGAGCCTTTATGCATTTACAAATTCAAACATATGCAGTGACATGAAATCAATAAACAACAAAGAAAAGTGTTAATTTTTGAACAGACCACTCAATAGACTGGAGAAAACAAACTGCCATCAAACCCACCCTAAATTAAAATAGGCTAGAGACAAGACAAGGTCACAGTGGTAAGAGAGTATTTATGAATGAAAGGTATTTGCGCTCACACACATACACACACACACACGCGCGCACATACACACTTAGACAGCAGTATAGATAAGTGTGATTATTATGAGTCTAACTGTTAATGTTCAAGGTCATTGGAGCAGCTGATAACACACACACACACACACACACACACGCAGCCTTGCATTGATTAAGCAGTGATTGGAGGCTGACTCTGTGAACAGTGATCTTTGATCAGCAGTAAAAGTCCAAACATGTTTTATTCTGATCCTAGAAATGCTGCACTGGCAGCAGCTTTCAGCTTCACTGACAGAGAATGCACCTGTTGTTTCATCACAGGTAAATCACGCTAGCATGTTAGAACATGTTAGTATCAAGCCGAAACACCCAGTGATGAAAAATTAAACCTGAAGAATCTTCCTTATCTACCCTCAAGATGAGAAACAAGATAGAAACTCTGAATGAAAACCCTGCACTTGTCAACACGTTCAGAACGCTACTTTGTGTGTCTCTTTTAGCCTCATGTTCCAAATAAATTTCTCCTTGATGAATTATTAACTTAATAGCTTATTTAACTCCAAACTTATTCTCTATCAAGAAGAGTTACAATAAAGCTTGTACAGAAATGCTATACACAGCAGTACCTTGAGTGTCCACTAGAGGCTGAACGCTCAAGCATCAGAAGCCACATACACTCTCACTCTAAAAAGCCCATCATTATCGAGAAAACTGAACGCGTTTGCGAACTGGAGAAAAACATCAGTTTTAGCTCATTATAACTCATTTCTTTCTGCACACACTGTATGAGTGTAAACTTATCAACTACTCATAAGTTTGAAAGGTTTTACAGTTATAGGTTTGGGGTAATTAACAGGTAAAAAAAAGGACACTAAAGGTCCTTACACACCGGGGCCAACACGAGCATAGAACGCGAAACTACAAATTTTTCGGAGGCGAATTTTGATGCATCTGACTATACACATCAAGCACAATGCGATTTTACGACTTTCCGGGGGGAAATGGTGCTGTGACAGCAACGCGACTGAGTTTGAGACAGTGAAAATATATACGGTATGTTGTATCTGAACAGGTTAGCTTATGAGCTAAAGTTACTTAGCACAGATGAAAGTTAAAACAAAGATGTTTAGCAAACTGTTAAAGCACACAAACCATCCTTCAGGTCATTATCTTTGTAATGTTTGTGTCTCCGACACGTAAACAATCAGCTGGTTGGCCATGTTGGATATACCGGTGGTGAATCAGACATCACAACAACACGCAATCTGATTGGTCAGTAGTGGACAAACAGTATGCGAAACTTTAGAAAAATCGACCGTGATCTGAAAAAATTAATGCCGCAATATCTCAGGACGGGAAAACATCACTGATGTGAACACTTGTATTGACAGGATACAGGTTCGAAAAAAAATATTGACGTCTGAAATAATCGCACGACAAAAATGGTCCTGGTGTGAAAGAACCTTTAAAGCACAGCATATGCAACAGCTTTGTCCTGAGACCAGTGATGGGAAGATCAAGCCTCATGAAGCTTCCTTTCAATTAGTGCTGAAAAAGTCTTTCAGACTCAGCAAACATGGGAAAAGGAACAGCGGCAACAACAAGCATTAAACTGACGTTGCTCAGCTGCTGCTGTGGCTTCATCACTGACATGCTCCAAATAATCATGACAATGAGAAAGATGCCTGAAGGCAGTGTGGACTGCAGCACACCTGGTACAGGTAAGTGACTAAATGAAGGCTGCACCTCCACTCAAAACCAACTCAGCCTGAAATAGGTGGGAATCACCTGTACTCAGATGAGACACACTGCAGTGGAAGATATGATGGATTTTTGAATATCTACCAGTCCACTACCAACATTACAGTCTCAAGGTCCTTTTTGTCGTGCAATTATTTCGGATGTCAAATTTTTTTTTGAACCCGTATCCTGTCAATACAAGCGTTCACATCAGCCATGTTTTCCCGTCCATTTATTTTTTCGGATCATGGTCGAGTTTTCTAAAGTTACTGTGTGTCCACTCTGACCAATCAGATTGCGTGTTGTTGCGACGTCAGATTCACTGGTATATCCAACATGGCCGACTGGCTAATTTTATACATGTCTGAAAACAGAGTGTTTTATGACATAAGACACAAACATTACAAGGATTACGACCTGAAGGACAACATAGCGTTGGATCTCTCATATGACGATGTTTTGTATGCTTTAACAGTTTGCTAAACGCCTTAGTTTTAACTTTCATCTGCGCTAACGTATGGTAACGGTTGTTACCACGGTTTCATGTGCCTATCTTATCGCCTCTGATTGGCCATAAGTGCTGACCATTTGGCTTGAGCGTTTGATAACGTTTCCAGCTTTTCTAGCCAATCAGAGGCGAAGGAGGCGGGACTTTCCCCGGGAAAAGTCTTTTGCGTGTTTTCCCCCCTGGAAAGTCGCAAATTTGCATTGGGCTTGATGTGTATAGTCAGCGCGTCAAAATTCACCTCCAAATATTTTGGAAATTTGCATTCTATATTCACATCGGCCCCTGTGTGTAAGGACCTTCACTGTCATCTTGTTACAAAATCAAAGCCTACACGTGTTTGAGTTCCAATCAGTGGTGATGTATTTTCAGCCTGTCATTAGCTACGTTTACATGGAGCCAAATATTCCGAATATAATCGGATTAGAAGCCCAATCGGAATGAAAATGCTCCATATAAACACCTCATTCGGAATAAACAGGCCCATTCCGAATGGAATTTCATTCCGATTCACAGGGGTAGAATTTTCCTTTTCCCATTCCGATTAAAAGCAAAATCCTGTCATGTAAACGGTGAATCGGAAAGTTGTCAGGCTGGGTTCTGTCTGCGCATGCTCTGTCCTGATGTAAACAAGCAGTAACGTATGACTCACATGGAAACATGATGGCGGCTTCCAAGCAGAGCACGATGCACTGGTCTGCGTCGGAGAGTTTGTTTTTGATACAAACTCTCAAAGAACTAGACATTGTCGCACGCTTAGACGGTAGGAAAACACGAAATGCTGAACTATTTAAAAAAGTTCACGAAAAACTCTGCGAGGCAGGGGTGGACCGTAACGTCGAACAGATTAGGAACCGCTGGAAAACACTGAAGGCTGGCTACTATAGGGCTAAACAGCACAACAGCAAAAGTGGGTATGACCCCAACAACTTCCCGTTTTTCGAACCGATGGACGAGATACTGGGGGGAAGACCATTGGCAAACATCGCTGGCAACGGAGTGGATGTGGGTTTTGACGAGGAGTCGTGTGATGGGGAGAGGCACATGTAAACACCAGATCAGAATAGATTGCTTCCATGTAAACAGTTCGCCTGGGAGCTTCAATCGGAATGATTATAATCCGAATGAGAAAAAAGTCTGCATGTAAACGTGGCTATTGTCTCATGTTTATCTTAGAGAAACATTTATTATCATTCTTTGTCCTTGAAAGTCTGATTCTTTGACTCTGTATGTTACCTTCCTTGTCTTTACAAACCTGATGACAGTGTATACTCCATGATCTTTAGTGGTTTTAATGCCACGATGAAGCACCTCTGACTTAGATTTTGAAAAAAGCTCTGTAAATAAAGGTTAGCATTATGATCAGTGTGTATAACACATTAATCAGTTTATCATATCTTATGTTGCTCTCCTTTTAAAGCTGAATATCGATAAATGTGTTATTTTAAATTTTGTGTGATTTATAGATGTTTATATTTATATTTAATTATTTACTCTCTATTCAACAATCCTCAAATAATGTTTTGATGCTTTGTCTTATGTGCTGTAAAACATATACATACAAATAATGTATTTTTTTTCTGGGGTTATATTTGCTTTATTTATGAAAAATTATATCTCAATCAAACCAAAGTTTTGATGAAATGTGAAATTTTGTGTCTTGCCCTATGAGTCTAAAGTCTGTGGAGTCCAGTCGTCTTCTGATGTAACAGGTTGCATTTTTAAATGCTGTGATATTTGTGTAGCTGACACTGATAAAGTCCAGTATAAAAGATATAAAGTTAATTTCTGTGATAATCAGACGATGAGATATCATGTGTCTGCAGCCTGCTGTGGATCCAGCAGAGTCACTTCAGTTTATCAGCAGTTTCAAGGTCGAGTCAATCGATTACAGAGAAGTGTTGCATGTTTTAGCACAGTGATTATCGCTCACACTGACCTTTTTATCTACTGTCTGTCTCTCTAGCCTGCCTCCATCCACACTTCCGTACAAACCAGGTTACCTGCTCCCACAGGACCAGCTGCCTCACCTGTCAGCGGGCCAGACTTCATATCAGCTTTTATAACCCAGAATCAATGAAGAGTCACTGCAGGTCAGTGTGGAGCAGGGCGGTCTGGATCTGTGGGTCTGAAATCTTCACTCAGACTGTCATACTCTGAATGTGTTTTTGTTCATCTGGCTTCAGCAGACTAAGGGAGAACATGCAGAGCCCTTTTTTATTCCTCAAGAGGTAAACTCATATACTTTGTCCCAGCATGTACAAATACAAATGCGCTTACCTAAAAGACAGGTGGAGGTAAATTCAGAGGTTGCTGCTGCTCATGTTGGACAAGTGAGTTAACTAATGCACCAAACCTTTAAATAGTCAACGAAGCTGCAGAAGCAGGACTGCACACAAGACACCAAAATACAAAATCTACCTTCACCTTAAGGTCCCCACACACCGGGGCCGACGCAAATATAGAATGCGAAATCAAGAAATATTCGGAGGAGAATTTTGACGCGCCTGACTATACACATCAAGCAGGATGTGTTTTTGCGACTTTCCGGGAGGAAAAAGTCGCATCCCGGGGAAGACTTACTGTGTACTTAGCACAGATGAAAGTTAAAACAAACGTTTAACAAACTGTTAAAGCACACAAACTATCGTCAAATGAGAGATCAAACACTATGACTCTCCACAAGTTGTCCTTCAGGTCGTTATCGTTGTAATATTTGAGTCCTTTATCAAAAAGCACTCTGTTCTCTGACACGTAAACAATCAGCCGGTCGGCCACGTTGGATACACCAGTAAATCAGACGTTGCAACAACACGCAATCTGATTGGTCAGAAGTGGACACACAGTATGCAAAAAATCGACCATGATCCAAAAAACATAAATGCTGCAATATCGCAATATCAAGCTCTTTAATGGCTTAATAACGAGCTTATCATTTGAATCATGTGTGTTGGAGCAGGGAAACATCCAAAACATGCAGGACAGTGGGCCTCCAGGACTGGACTTGAGAACCACTGGTTTAACATATTACCCCAAATTTCCAATTTGATTCACCTCTTTCATCAAACAGCATTTCTCAGTCTGTTACACTCATTTGCCATTTTCTGATCCATCCAAAGGAAATTTGCTGGTTAAATGTCTGATCCTGCCACTGGATCGAGGAGTTACAGTTTAAGAAGTGAACATGCTAAGTTTCAACTCTTAAAGGCATGGTTGACGACTGGACAGATTGGTAATTATTATGAACCTTGTTTATACAGTGATTATGGTCCTATAGTGCGATCTCCACAAAGTGAAGAGAAAAAAGAAAGGAAAAAATTTGTCTACCCTAGCAGGTGCAGGGCTGCAAAAATATTGACCAATTGGAGCCATCCGTGCCGGACAGCTCCTATTGGTCAATCTCCTGCTCTGCCTCTCCATCCAATCACCTCGCTGTATTCGACACACTCCTCTCCCATTGTTCCGACTCATCCCCACTCACCCTCCCAGCCCTTCTTGGAGTTCTGGCTAAAAGTAGCGTACAGGAGCTGTGATGGAGAAGGACAGAAAACAACACTTCTGCCCCACCACCAAAAGTGCTAAGAAAGCGCAAGCCAACAGAAGAAAGGGTAGATTCGAAGAGTAAATGGGACCAAGCAAGGAATCTAATAGATTGAATAAACATCGGGTCATCCTTCGAGCGGTGGAGAAAGCTCCGCCAGGATCTGGCCCGAAAACAGAGGCCTTACAGCAGAGTTTTTGTTGAACAGGTAATTTTTGCCTTTTATCGTGGCACGTTACATAAATAACTCTTATTAGTCTCTGCAATGTCAACACAGTAGATATCCAGGCAGCTGCAGACGGTGCTCGCTAGCAAAATTGGCGTTTACTGCCGCTAGTCACTAGCAATCCGATATGATGAATCCTCTTTGTTGCTAGCGTAGTATCCTCTACCAGCCAGCTTCTTGCTCTGCTAGAGGGGGTGTCGCGTGGGCAGGGCGATACAGGTTCAGGGGGGAGTGATTGTGGAGCACATTTTTAAATCTACCTCAATGGCTCAGTTTTTGTCAACTGCTTCGCAGATCGTTCACCATGCCTTTAAAGTTTCTAAAGTTGCAATAGCAACAGGCCAAACTCACCAGTCATCTGCCAACACAGCACTTAAACATCTGACTGTTGACTAGTTAACTGGATGTAAAATTTGACAGCAACAGAAACTTCAGTGCCTCTGAAGTAGTCATCAACATTTTTCTTGTACACAAGTTTCTGCAGACGTCTCCCTCACACCAGGCTATAAAGAGCACAGTGCAGAAGAGAAAACAGGCTTCTGTCTGTGCGGATGTGTTCATTTAATGACTCCACATCACCACCTCTGATTTCATCATCCAGAGCAAACGTGTCAGACTGCATGCCTCCAGTTTGCCTGCTGCACCTTCAGGATTGTGCAGACTGAGGTCTTTGCTGCCTGGAATGGAAGTTGTGCTGTTTCGAGGCCCATTTGTTGTAGAACACATTATACATCATCTGCGAGAGCTTGGGACAAACGTTGTGACCTGATCACCACATGAGAAGTGTTTAACCTGACAGAGTAGCATCTACACCCACTCTCAGGGTGCAGTTTAACAGCAAAATAAATACTAATTGAATCAGGAACTGTTGGTCCTCTGATGTTATTCTCACAGGATTTTTATCTCAAGATGCCAGAAAACATGTCAAGTGTTGCAGGTGTTCAAAGTTGATGTCTAACAGGTTTGAACATGAATGAATGAACACAGGTACACATCCAAAATGAGCTCAAAGACTTTATACTGCTGTTACAGCAGCACAGCAGTTTGTTTTACAACTACAACAGCAGATCTGCATCGTAAAGTATTTCAAACAAATCAGACACAATAAACAGCTTTATCTTATATAAACAGACAATTTGAGATTGAGATTTTTAATCTTTAAGCAGTGGTTTAGTGGCATGAGTCTTGGAGTCTAAAGAACCTTACACACCAGGTCCGACACGAATATAAAATGCGAAATTACGAATATTCCAGGGATAATTTTGACGCCCCTGACTATACATATGAAGCTCGATGCGATTTTGTGACTTTCCGGGGGCAAAAAGATGCGTCGCTTAGTGTGAACATCCCATTAGTGGGGATGCTCCGATGATTTTACATCCTCACATACTACTTAGCCCATCTGTAGAAACACTGTACAAGTAAAATGAAGTCACAGCCTATACCACAGGTTTAAGATTAAGTCTGTTGATGTCTAACTTTTTATGCATTTCAGGAGATATTCACAGTGTGATTCTGTTATTACCTCCGCCAAGGAGGTTATGTTTTTGGTAGCGTTGGTTTCTTTGTTTGTTAGTTTGTTTGTCTGTTAGCAACTTTACAGAGAAAGTTACAGACAGATTGACCTGAAATTCACCAGAGGTGCGTCTCAGCCCCAGGAGGATCCCATTAAATTTTGGTGGTGATCCGGATCGCCTACTGGATCCTGGAATTTTTTGAAGGATTGTTTATCATTGTGAGATAGGGCACATTTTTGAATTTTTGCATTTAACTCTATAAAAATGGCCAGAGTCTTTAGTAAAAAAATTACACAAAAGGATCTCAATGAGTTTTTTGAGGTGTCAAAGGTTGATCCTGATCCAGACAAAATTCTGGATACTGTGATCCAGAACACACAAAAATAAGGGTGTTGTTGGAATTTTCAATGCTGAAAGATAACCAATGGGCGGCACAGTGGTGTAGATGGGCGGCACAGTGGTGTAGTGGTTAGCACTGTCCCCTTACAGCAAGAAGGTCCTGGGTTCGAATCCGGGCCAGGGCATTTTTTGTTTTAGGAACATTATGAACAGTGAACATACCAGTTTAAACACGAATAGAAGTTAATAAAAGACACGTAACAGTAAAAGTTTTGGTGTGAATCACAATATAAGGGGGGACATGAGCTGCTTGGCAGAGGTCTGCGCTCTCTGAGTGCTTTTCTAGTTGTCAATGGGATTCTCAATGTCAGAGTTTCATGCATGGTGTGTGTAAGAGCGCGCACAAGTGTGTGTGTTTGTGTGTGTGTGTGTTTGTGTTTGTGTGTGTTTGTGTGTGTGTAATACAGACAGATTTTATCCAGAAGTGACCCGAGGTGTTGCAGCAGCTGCAGGTTACTGTAGTATGAACTGATATCAAGTGGTCAGAGGTCACTCAGGATGGTTATCACCCATCGTACATCTCAAATTATCAGAACCACGAAAAAACTAGGTCTGTTTGTTGAATTACGACAGGATTTTACTCATTTTGATGGAAACGGTTGGCTTGTTTAGTTAATCAAAGTAACACCATTAAAGAGACAGAAGGAAAAGGGAAGACATAACAGCTGAAACTGAAAAACAACAGCTCAAGTCTGGATGAACAGCAGTTATTTTTTTGGCACATTTGATGCTGATAACCATAAATTTGGTTCTAGTTAACACAAGTTTTACAGGACATTTTATCGATGGGTAAAAGTTGATAGATGGTGAAGCATTAAAGTAAAGCAGAAGTATCTCATGCAAAAAGGTGTTCTTATGTTGTGGTATATAGTAACTTTTTAGTTGCCATTTTGAACATTTTATCCAGGTTTCATTGTCTTTATGGCTAAATAGATATCATATGATTAACTACTGCATGTATAAGAGTATATACATTGCTGTCATGTTAACTGCTTGGAGCTCAGAGAAGCCTGAGTTGCTGTTTGTAGACTGAATATCAAACATAGAGTCAAACGTTCAGTTCCCTCATAATGTCTGGATACAGTCTCCAGCTCTTACATAGGATGAAAAGTTAAGAAAAAGAGGGTTTAGGGATAATCAAGCCTTTATAGAGTTTGCAAAGTCTTTTTTTCAAGGTAGTTTGGTGACACAGGTTCAAAGGTAGACTGTTCCATTATTATCAGATAAGAAACTAAAACAGAAGACCTCCTAGTGTCCCCGTCATCGTTCACCTTGACCCTGACACAGTCACTGAGCTTCATTCATGATAAAAGCTATTATCACTTCTTATCATGGTTTATAACACAGCAGCTCAGTTCCTAATCCAGTCACTACAGCAACAGCTGGTTTACAATTTGCAGCTGACTTTGGTTAAATAACTTTGATTGATCTGCACATTTGGCTATTAAACTGATAATTCAATGCACAGATATGATTATAATTATTATATGCATATATTCATCCTATTTGACAGTGTACATCCCATTTAATTTAGCCTCAAGGTCCTTTCACACCAGGACCGTTTTTGTGGTGCGATTATTTCTGACGTCAACATTTTTCTTCGAACCAGTTTTCATGTCAATACAAGCGTTCAAATCAGCAATGTTTTCCTGTCCTTTTTTCGGATCATGGTTTCGCATGTGTGTCCACTTCTGACCAATCAGATTGCGTGTTGTTGCGACATCTGATTTACCGGTATATCCAACATGGCCGATGGGCTGATTGTTTACGTGTCGGAGAACAGAGTGCTTTTTGATGAAAGACACAAATGTTACAAAGATAATGACCTGAAGGACAACTTGTGGAGAGTCATAGCATTGGATCTCTCATTCTGCCTCTCAGCTGGTTGAAGCTTCTTTTTGATAAGTTGTTAGGGTTTCATGTTTTCTACGATTGGCACTTGATATGGGCATACGAAGATTGCATGGATCATCCGGTGGATACGCTGTTTGAGCAAAGCATCATCACAATGACTCTCCTGCCAAACGCTACTGCGCAAACTGAGGATTTAGGAAATGGAGAAAATCCTGTATATACCAAAAGCAATTTGACTTCAAATTTGTACAACGATGACAGGTGCAGCTCGGTCTTTTGAAGAGGAACTGCCTGGAGAACCAGCACATAAGCTAGGCCACAACTTGGGCTGCAGTTAGATGATTGTGTTATTTGAGTTATTTGTAGTCCTCTATAAATGTCTTGGTGCACTGTTTTGAAAGATGAGATAACTTACAGGATAAGGAGAAGCAGAGGGTGTAACCAGCTGTTTTCTGTCATCAACATGTTCTCCCAAATAGATGATATGAATTGAGGTATATTTATTTTGATTTGCGCTCTTGCTGTCATTTATCATGAGCAGACATTTCCAAAGAGTACCCCTTAAACAGTCAGTACGGATCAACCAAACAAAGATAAACCATAAGTGTATGTGTATTTAGCTTTAACTTATGGTTCATTGTGGACTTTACACCTTTACTCTAGACACAACTTATGCACACAGTTTTGTTCATAATAATAGCAGTGTGTTTAAAAATGTGAGTAAACCTAAAAATTCTTCAAATGAATCGTATTTTAATGAACACAAATGCATTGGGGACACTGCACATTCTATTTCAAAGCAAGAAAATTGGAAAAAGTAATTAAATTTGATATTTCACAAAAAGTCAAGAAACAGTGTTGACATCTTTCTTTACAAACTCAAAAATGTGCTGTATAAACTAAGAAATGCTTGAAGAATAAACTTTCCTGAGAATCCTAAACTAATATTTAGTTGCATAACCACAGTTTCTGATAACTGCTTCACATCTGTGGTACACGGAATCAACCAACATCTGGCAACAGTCAACAGATATTGCAGCCCAGGACAGTTACACTATGTTCCACAATTCCTCTGCATTCCTTGGTTTTGCCTCATGACCAGCATTTTTTATGTCAGTCCACAAGTTTTCTATGGGATTAAGGTCCGGGATCCATTACTTGAATTTTGTTTGTCTGGAACCATGATTTTGCTCGCTTGCTGGCGAGCTGGTGTGTTTGGGGCTCATTGTCTTGTTGAAAAAACCATTTCAAGGGCATTTCCTCTTCAGCATACGGCAACATGACTTCCTCCAGTATTCTGATGTACTCAAACTGATCCACGATGCGAAAAATATGCGATAAATAGGACCAACACCATAGTACAAGAAACATTCCCATATCGTGATGCTTGCACCGCCATGCTTCACCGTCTTCACTGTGTACTGTGGCTTGAATTCAGTGTTTTTAGGACGTCTGTCAAACTATCTGTGGCCTTTAGACCCAAAAAGAAAAAATCTTACTCTCATCAGTCCACAAAGTATTACATCATTTCTTTATTTATCTATCTTTTTATCTTTTTTTTCACGTAATCAATGACCTTACTAATTGAACTCGGCACTGCCATTTGTTTGAACACGCCCCTTTCAGTAAATGATTCAGTTTCACAGAATCAGCAGCATGGATGTCATGCCTGTTGGGTTGGTTTGTTTTCTATACCTATACTAAACCTTCTAGAAACTTACTTGCAGTGTAGAAGTTGAAATTCTAACAAAAACAGTGATTTATCTTGCTAGTGATGTGGGACTGCTATTGGTGCAATAGGTCCCTGGACCATGAAGTCCTTAGAAGCTATGGAAACTAGCCTGTACACATAGCACCAAGAACAGCACATCTCAAGGAACTTTCCATGAAGCCGTACACATCAGTAGGCTATCTACAGGGGCTCTAATACCATCAAGTATGTCCCTTGAACAGTCGGCCTCCAGAACCTGAACTCCCCCTCAGTGACCTTCAACTGTAACTTCCTGTTCTCCATATGGTTTGGAGCGACAGATCAGATGTTATGAAACTTTTAACACACCTGTGGTTGTAACTTGAGGTAAGAGCTGCATTGTCGGTTGTGTTTTTTTCCCGTCGTTATTTACTTTCCACCTTTATCAACTCACTGATCAAAGTTTTTACAGCCCTTCACATCAGTCATCATGTGCTTGTCAGTTTATTTATTTTATTTTATTTCTTTTTCTTGAACAGCTGACTCATTTTTCACTTGAATCACAGAGGAGGGATTTTGCAGATAACCCTTTCATTTCTCAATGTGCCTTTTCTTTGCAGACTTTATCAGACAGGGCACAAACAGTGCTGAACGACATGTTCCCAGGTTGGACTGTTAAGAAAAAACACAAGAACACAAACTTCCCAGGTCATGCCAAGGTTCATAACTTAATGTCCTAGTGTTGGGGGCAGACAAAATCTGGATGGAACTGGGGGTCAGTATTTTTTTAAAGGGGACCTGCCATAAAAATGTAATTTTGTGTGTTTTTTGTGTCAGATAAGGTCCATATTATGTTCATCTAATGTTGTAAATGTGAAAACAAACCGTTACGTCGTTTGCATTCTGTAAAGGTTTAAAATAAAGGAACGGGTAAACCAGGCCAATTGAAAAAGCAGGTCCCTCTGACGTCGCGCTGACCTTGCTCATTATTATTCACGAGCGCGTCCTCGGTGAGCCGCGCCCACTCTCTCGTTCTCGTACTCATTCACAGTCAACATCACTCTCCAGCCAGAGCGGGACCCAGCTACCACTGTATCCGCTATGGGTCTCTTCCAAACGACCGGTGTTGCCGGGTAAATGAACTTAAAGCTATCTCAAGTCTGTCCGTTGTGTCCGTGGGCAAGACACTTAACCCACCTTGCTCCCAGTGTGTGTCCTCCACTGGTGTATGATTGTGAGTGTTGTGTGGTGGTGGTCAGAGAGGCCGTAGGCGCAAAATGGCAGCCACGTTTCCGTCAGTCTGCCCCAGGGCAGCTGTGACTACTAAGGTAGTTTACCACCACCAAAGTGTGACTGTGTGAGCGAATGAATGATGTATCCAATGTAAAGCGCTTTGAGGGTCTCTGATAAAGCGCTATATGAAATCTGATGCATTATTATTATTAAAGCTGGGCAGAATGAATGAGAAAACACCGCTGGAGATCTCTGGCTTCTTCTTCAACTTCCACCTCCTCTTCGGACTCGGGGTCTAAAATATATGGTTTAATACCTGCCATTTTTAGCCTTTAGCATAAGGTGACCAGACTTCCCCGATTTCCGGGGACAGTCCCCGAATTAGATGACCTGTCCCCGGCAAAAGCTGTCCCCGAAAATGTCCCCGATTTAAGCGTTTCATGAATGAGAGCAAAAATGTTGCGTGTGGGCTCGAACAACGGTTATTACAGTAGCCGAACAGGTAGGAAGCACAAGTAAGCAGTCCTGAACAACAGTTTTTAAGGGGGTTATTACAAGGGGCATGCGCTGCTACTAAATAGTACAGAGACTTTGTCTGTGATCACGCAGCCCCTGCACCCGGCGCCGCACCGAACGCTTTTCAAATCTGCCTCAACAGCTCAGTTTTTTTTAACTGCTTCTCCAATCGTCAACCATGCCTTTTGGGTTAACAGGGAGGATGGTTCTAAAAAGGAAGAAGGAGGAGGAAGGGAGAAGCTGTTCAAACACAAAGAAATCATCAACTCTTCTCAGCTTACCTGCTCTGACCAGATAAAAAAATAAACAAAAAAAAAAAAATTGAAAATCCAAAACCTGTTTACATGGTTCAGCAATAAACTGATCATTTATGGGAGTTGACCCACTCTGATAATTCACACACTTTCAGGAATGCTGGCTTTGGACTGGGAGCTGAGAACAATTTGGGAGGCTCCTCCACTCATGAAGGAGGATAGAGCATCTGTGATTTCCAGAAAGAATGACATATGTCATATTCTGATTCATCGACCAACAAGACAGATTTCTGTTTCCATCAGTCCACCTTAAATGGGCTCAGGTCCATAAAAATGTCTAGTATTCCTGGTTATTCAATCTGGTTTCCTCTTTACATAGTTCAGTTTTACCCTCATTTGTAGATGCAGTGAAGAACTTTGCTTACAATGGTTTTTGAAGTGATTTTGAGCTAGGGTCGTGTTCACACCTAAAGGTCAGTTTCCTGATTCGAATCCAAGGCAAGACGATTGGTTAACTGGTCCGGTTTGCGTTCACAAAGGATAAACTCAATCGCTCCGGAAAACGGAACCGTAAGTCACGTGACCGCGAACATCGTTCGGTTATTGGTCATTAGTTCCTGCAGGAATACAAACCCTGCTCTGCTGTCTTCGCCTGTCATGGAGCATCATAGGCTGATTTTGCTTTTGTTACTCATCTGGAGCACGTATCAAAAGACGCTAGTCAATCGCGCGTATGAACAAATTGTTAGCCAGTGAGCGCGAACTGCGGCATCATTTAATACATTCCGGAGTAGACGTGCTGCAAACAACAGACGGCAACAGGCATTAATGACGTGTGTGGTGCGTTTCCTGCGATTGGTGTGGAAGACATTCAGACCAGAAATGAACCGCTTGATAGCGGTCCAAGACCACCAATTCAGGCGGACCAGAGTTTGTTTATTTGGTCCGCACCAGAGTTTGAGGTCAGCGTTCACACCGACCCAAACGAACTGCAACAAGGAGGTAAACGCTCCAGGGTTCGGTTCAACTGGACTAAATGAGGGTGGTGTGAACGCGCCCTTGGACAATGATTCCCACACCAAGAGTCCTGTCTGTTTGTATTGCAGTGCTTGCCTGATGGTCTGGAGGACCATCCAGTTTTGATTTTGGTCTTTGTCCCTTTAGTAAAGAGATTTCTCAAGATTCTCTGAATCTTTCAATGATATGATGTTCTGCAGATGATGATATCCACTCATTCTCTTACGTTTGACTCTGAGGAACATTGTTCTGAAACTGTTGAACTATAAGCTCACACAGTCTCTCACAGAGTGGTGAACCTCTTCCCATCTTTCCTTCTGAGAGTCTCAGCCTCTCTGAATGCTCTTTTTATACCCAGTCATGTGACTAACCTGTTGGAAATTAACCTCATTAGTTGGAGATGTTCCTCCAGCTGTTTTATTCTAAGCATTACAAAAACTTTCACAATGTTTTGTTGTTTCTCTGTTACAACTTTTTACCTGTTGAGTTATTCGTTTTACTACTTCTTAAAAATACGCTTCTGAAATCAAATCAAATATTCACTTGTATTTTTTTTTCACAAAAAAAAATGTGTTTGTTTATGTTTATGTTAGTGTGTAATTTTGTTCAAAGTTTCTGTAGGGAACTTTTAACTAGATTTTAAAAAGTATCTTGCTTCTCCTGATATATCTCTGTCACCTAAAATACCAAATAAGCCCATCAGAGCGAAGATAAGATATTTCTAAAAGTGTAACTCCTACTTTCAAAATTTGTTAGTTGGGTCTGCTCACTGATGAAATGATTTACAGCACGCAGGCCGGAAGTTATGGCACTCACACAGGGACATGAGAGGAGCAGTGAGGTGTTGCTAAGCTAGCCAGTGAAAACAGAGCAAAAACAAATAGCTACACATGGTTGATGGGGACGGGGTCCACTAAAAGAAAATGAATTAGAACAGAAAAACAAACCAAAAAAAAAAGCAAAAAGGGAATATGATCGAGCAATGGCAAAAACAAGGATAAACATTGGTAATTCCTTTGCGAGGTGAAGAGTGTTGTGGGGCTTAAAGGGATTCAAGTTGGATCCAATTCCTCCTAGATAGGTAACATAAGCTGCACTTTTTTTACACTGCTGGCTGATTTATTTGAAGATATAACATTACCAAGGAAAGCTGACAACTTTAGCTTTATATTCTAATCTACAGCTGAGTTATGTAATCTGTTTGTTGTAGGTTAACTGTTACGAACAGGACATAACTGTAGGCTAAAAATACAAGTCAGATTGATTGTACAGGTATGGTGTTGTTACTGCTGGGCAAAAGTGCCTGACGCGCCTCCTAGAGTGTCTTTTGGGCCAGCCGCAGGGTCATCAGCCGGGGACCACCGCTCATTGGAGTTTCGCTCTCTTTAACCCCAGAACGCCTCCTGGTGGTGGAGCGGTGGCAGGGACGTCTCCCTGCCACCCCCTGCAGCTGACCCATCTCATTGGCTTGACCCCCAATTCTTATCTCTCCTCCTCAGCCACAGCCAGAACCTTCCCTTTTTCACTTTCTGACCGAGGGCCTTGGTTTCTCTTTGAAGCTTAGCCCCAGTTGTTCCCACATCGCAAAGCAGCCGAGTTGTCGATGTGCTGACAAAGCCCCGGCAGCCTACTTCCACAGGGTAGATGGTGGTGGACCAGCCTGCCTCCCTGCACTCGGCCGCCAGGTTGGAGTACTTGGCTGCTTTTTGCTCATAGGCAGCTTGGATCCCCTCCTCCCATGGAATGGCAAGCTCTATGAGCATGGCAGACTTGGCAGCAGCAGATGTCTGGTCGGAGTAATGTGGTGGTAATCTCACAGGGAAACTGCAGCTGTTTGCCGATGTCGGCCCTCATACTCCAGTCCCTGGCTTCAGATAGGACACCCCAGAGACCTCGTCAATTGATGTCTCCTTTGTCCTCCCCTTCATAATACAACATTACTTCCTGTCACCGGCGGCAAATTATATTTCATAAAAATGCAAATATATACATAACCTCGTCACGACACACCCTGCAGATAGCCAAAAAAACCCAAAACAAACAACAACAACAACAAAAAAAACTCCAAGTGCCGGTAAGTCCTGTCTTGTTTTGTTTGCCTCCAAAACAACTAAACGCCAAACCAAAGACCTTGTAAGTATTTTCACAACAGTACGTGCAAGAGCTCATGGGAAATGTGCATCATTCCGGCAAAACACTACAGCTTTTGTCCATAGTGGCCATCACAGAGTGACGCAACGGATAATGAAAAGCTGCTCTAAAGGGCCTTTCACGCTGGGACCCTTTTTTTCGTGCGATTACTTCGGACACCAATATTTTTTTTTTAACCCGAATCCTGTTAATACAACGTTCACATCAGCGACGTTTTCCCGTCCTGCGATATTGCGGCATTTATTTTTTCGGATCATGCTTTTATTTATTCATTTATTTTTTTGCATCACGGACGATTTTTCTAAAGTTTCGCATACTGTGTGTCCACTTCTGACCAATCAGAATTCGTGTTGTTGCAACGTCTGATTCACTGGTATATCCAACATGGCCAACTGGCTGATTGTTTACGTGTCAGAGAACAGAGTGCTTTTTGATAAAAGACACAAATATCACAAAAATAGGACCTGAAGGACAACTTGTAGAGAGTCATTGTCGGATTTCTCATATGACGATGGTTTGTGTGCTTTAACCGTTTGCTAAACGTCTTTGTTTTAAGTTCCATCTGTGCTAAGTAACTTTAGCTCGCAAGCTAACCTGTTCAGATACAACATACCATATGTATTTTCACTGTCTCAAACTCAATCGCGTTGTTGTCACAGCACCATTAGGTCTCAGTTGTTACCTTACGTTTATGGATTATAGTTTAATGTGCTTATCTGGTACTGGCCCCGACTCAGTACATGCTATCATGACAGACAGCCATCTCAACACTAGTGTCTAATCAGAACTGAAAAACAGTCAGTCTGCTGATGTGTCAGTCTTATCGTTTCCACCCGGGACGCGTATTTTTCCCCCCCCCGGAAAGTCACAAAATCTCATCAGGCTTGATGTGTATAGACAAGAGCTTCAAAATTTGCCTCTGAATATTTCGTAATTTCGCGTCATACATTTGCATGGTTCCTGGTGTGTAAGGACCTTAAGTCTGTAAAAACGCTGCACATGATGTCTTCGTGTATTTCTCTGTGGTCTGATGAATATTTAGATGATATATTTCTTCCCAACTTAGTTTCTCAATCAGTTGCCTCATTTCTCATTAATGTTGCCTGTCTTGATCTACAAGATTTACTTTCTCTGACACAGGTCTCAACAAGTTATACAAAGTGGTATGATCATGTTTGAGCCATGTTTACGTGTACAAACACACACACACACACACACACACACACACACACACACACACACACACTTAGACACACAAACACTTCAAGGAGTAGTATCATGCTTTTCCACATTTACAACAACAAAAAGGCAAAGTTACAAAGTTTGATGTCCATACTAGATGTATGCAAAGTTTCAAATCACAAGGTAAACAAATGTCATTTTCTCAGAAAATCGATGTAAACTGCTCAAAATGAAGCCTGCCAATGCCTGCGTCAGTGTTATTGGCTCTCCTTACTAGTTCGTCTGTGCTTCTGGCACAGCTGAATGGCCTGTGAGGTGACACCCACAGCGGAGCAGGGTAACACTGTTCTGCGGCTTAACTGATTGACCACAATTGAGAGAGTGGGCCAAAACATCAAGCTCTGCACTCAGCTGGATTCTGGAAAGCCTCTGGAGAGGTGGCCAATCAATAAGAAAGTGGAGGCTGAAAGAGACAGCAGCTTAAAAGAATGGAGGCTGAAATAATGATATCTCCATACACCACTGTGAGAAATTTGAGGCTTTTTTTCAATCTGAAAAAGATATTAAAGAGGATTGAAACAGGGTGGATGAGGAAATGCATAATAGCCCCTCTTTAAACACACTCACATGTAAACCTTTACAAACACTACAGGAGTCCAGCTGTGACCTTGAGTCTGTTTACCTATCCGGATGCACTATCACCACTCAGTTCTTCAGGTAACACTGTCCATGGACTACAGTCAAGGCCATCACACACACACACACACACACACACACACACACACACACACACACACACACACACACACACACACACACACACACACACAGATTGCTGCCCCTGAGATTCCCTCTGGTGATAACAAATCAGAAACATGTTCAGTACATTTGTCCTGAATTCAGGGGAGGGGAGGCATGAAGGATGGGTTTATGTAAAATCTGGAGGAGAGATTCATTCACAACTTTCTTAAAAATATTCAAGATGATTTGCTGCAAACGCAGTAGGAATGGACATGAGTGTTTTCCAAGGGTCTTCTTTTTTATCTCATTTTGGTCTTGTGCCTGTGTGCAAACAGAGTTTCAGGGAACTGAATAGAGGGCTTTGGAAGGGGGTTTCCAAGTTAGAGATTATTTAAGACCCTGTTTTTACTTTTTTTTATTTGTTGGCATTTTGGAAGGTTTTTTTTTGTTTTGTTTTGTTTTGTTTTTTTCTTTTCAGTCTAGTCAGTGGTTCTCAAGTCCAGTCCTCGAGGCCCACTTTCCTGCATGTTTTGGATGTTTCCCTGCTCCAACACAGCTGATTCAAATGATCAGCTCGTTATCAAGATCTGTAATGGCTTAATAACGAGCTGATTATTTGAATCAGGTGTGTTGGAGCAGGGAAACATCCAAACATGCAGGACAGAGGGCCTCGAGGACTGGACTTGAGAACCACTGAGTTAAGATACACTTAGTGTAAAGAAAGATTGTACATACAGTTGAGCACGCAGAAGCAAAAATAAAACACAGAGAAAAACAATATGATATTAGCAGTAAATATAATCCATATTTATTTAATTCATTTATTTATTTATTTATGATTTGCTGAAATTCATAAAAACCTGACCAGCAGATCTTTATAGAATGAAGTCAAACTTTAGCAAACTTTTACCAAAAATATAATCTATTTATTTTTTTATTTTTTTCAAAAAAATAATAGTTTTAAAAATCAATACAAATGTAAGTAAGTTCATAAAGATTGTATGGCTTCTTTCAAGAACAGTCATCACATAGTGCTTAACAATAACACATTAAAAGGGGGAACAGTCAAGACGTAATAATCACAGTCATGTTCTGGTCAAACAGAGGCGAGTCTAAACAGATGGATCTAAAAATTGATTTTTTTTTTTAAATGCTGACTGCATTTACAGTTCTCAGTTTCAGTGGAGCACAGCTCCAAAGTTTTGGAGTTAAAAACTGAAACCCTCCTTTTGTTTTGAGTCTTAGTCTGAGGATCAACCACAAACCCTTGATCTGAGGAGCTCAGAGTCAGCTGGAGGTTGACCAAAACACGATCATATATTCAAACTGGATTTCAACTTTAATGGGAAGCCAGAGCAAAGAGCTGAATCCGCGTGTTGGATGAGACTATCAGGAGGATTTTGGATCACTTACAGGCAGTTCAAAGAAGAGCTGCAGAGACAGGTAAATAAAGAGGAACACTTATCTAACCAAGATGAAATGAAAGCATAAACATTCAGCTCAGCTTTGGGCGCCATGGGCATTAGTTTCATAATGTTTGTGAAACGCTGACATCAGTACCTCAAATTGCTCATTGCAAGTGATTTTTGTGTATATTGCACATTTGCCAAGGAGGCAGACCACCGATTTGGTGGTATGAGGTACTGATGTCCACCCTGTTTAGTTCTGCTCAGAGCTGTTAGGTTTAACTACATGTTTCCAAGAAAACCTTTACTTCATCATTTCACTGCCAGGAGAACTAATAAATCATGCTTAATAGTTCTGAATTCACCACTCAGTACTCAGTTTCAAAACACCTGCAGCTCACTTAAAATGAGGCTCGAAATGCATCCACACGTTCTTCACCTATTGTGTTTGGTTTGATCACACATTACTGCCTCCTACTGGACCATATTAGGGCATTGAACCCAACAACCTGATATTAGATGTGATTTTTTTGCTTTGATTGGGTTATATAATACAGATCAAGCTTAAGTGAGATAATGGTTTTTATTCTTTTATCATCTTCTTTTTATATGTTTTTATTATGATACTTATCAGCTGATTCATATTGGTAAACTGCACCTCCTCCCTGCTCCTCAGTAGTCCATGCAGAGTCATCTTTCAGATAATCCTGGGGTGGGATCCTGATGATCGCCTGGTTGCTTATTAATGGAGGAAAAACTGAACTTTACTTTTTTTTTTTGCTGTTTGTGAGCCCAGTGATGACATCAAACCTGTACTGTGAATCCACCCTATAGCCCCGCCCCCGCTCTGGAGCAGGTATAAAAACCTGCCACACACCACCTGTCACCGATCAGACTCTGCTCACTCTCACTCACACACAGACATACACGGGTTACACACACTCTATACACACACTCTGGTCTGCAGGAGTCCGTCTCAGGTCCTGTGTGTGTGTGTGATCTGTGTGGACATTCGCTTTGAGCCTCCAGCTGGGTCGGATCCTTCTCTGCTTAGCACCTTCATCATCATCTTCATCATGATCATCAGCATCGCTCTGATCTGGGCCATCGTGGTGGGCATCTGCTGCCTGCTGTGGCTGGCTGTGGGGACCCGTCACAGGTAAGACCTCACCTGTAGGATGCAGAGCTTGAATCTGCAGCATGTTGAGTAGCAGGAAGCATGGACTGAAAAGTCCTCATGCAGGTTTTCAGCAGATTTTACACAGATGAACTCCTTCCTGTTGTTTTTCTGGGTGAGCCCCACAGCGTGTGTGAAGCATGAGGCCTCTGATGTAACGCGGCTGTGATTGACAGAAGTATGCGAGCAGCGTGTGTTAGGAAAACAAAGGCCTTTGTGCAGGTGATGGAACTTGTTGGGTTTGTTGTTGAGTCACATCACAGGGCTGACAGATTGGAGCAGCTGCTCTTGAACTCATGTTGTGATCTAAACAGAGCGGAAAGGTTCTGATTTCAGGAACAATGATAGATATTCATCAAGAAGATTCAAAGTCACACTTTTGGCTTTACTTTAACAGATGGGTCTTTTGTTTGAAAGTACATCAGGCTGTATGTTTCAGTATGACAAGAGTAACTGGTTTGTGATGCTCACTGAATGTTGTGGTTTTTTGGGAGAGACGAGCCTTGACTAAATTGAAAGTTTGCATGAATCATCATGAACAGAAAAGGTGCAGCAACACGTACACCAAATTCATCTTCAAATACACATGTAGGAGGAAGAGTATGTACTGAGCATGAACCACATCATCCGAGGTTTCAGGTCCAGCCTCTGTCTTTGATTCATCTCTTCCTCTGTTTTTTTCCACTCCTCTCTGGTTTTCTTTCTGCCATAACTGTTGAACACAATCAAACTAAAAGACAAAGAAAGACCTAAATGGGGCGCTTATTCAACCCTGGTATACATAAGTGGTACTTTTTTATTTATTTGTTTTCAGCAGACAGTGTTTTCTGCTCAGTACAATCAATTTATGAATGAATTTTACACAACTTCAGTAAGTCTGAGGCAAATAAAAAAAATGAAATCAAGAAGCTTGAGTCAAGAAAATAAACTTCTGCTGGCTGACTGTTTTCTGTTGGAAAACTGGGACTGAACATCAGTCAGTCTGACTCAATGAGCCTAAACTCCATTACTGTAATCAAAGAGTAACTGGATATCACTGTAGTCCCTGTCTGACCAAACCAACAGCCAAACTGTGGCATACAAAACTCTCAGATCTTCATCATTCATTTGTTCCATCTTCATACTTCAACTTTTTTTCTCTTTTGTTGACCCCGTCAGGCAGCCAGGTGAGCCCGCCCTGGAGAACGGCCTTATTCCATACCTCGGCTGTGCTCTGCAGTTCGGGGCCAACCCTCTCCAGTTCCTCCGCAGCCGCCAGAACAAATACGGACACATCTTCACCTGCAAGATTGCTGGCCAGTACATCCACTTCCTGTGTGACCCCTTCTCCTACCACTCCGTCATCAGACAGGGCAGACACCTGGACTGGAGGAAGTTCCACTTTGCCACATCTGTGAAGGTTTGTCTGTCCATTCATTGGTTATTATTACCTTGATGCCTAAGGCTTGGTCCACAGGTTCACTCAGTGCAACAGCGCATTACTCTGCAGTTTGAGAGTCCACTATCTTGTTTATATTGGCGTGTTAACATTTATTAGATAACTTTGGCAGCAAAGGATGGAGCTGTTGGACCGGCCCAGGAAAAGTCAGCTGCACTTGAATGAGCCTTTGATGCACTCAGTTTTCAACCTCTGGATTGGGTCACAGTTAATTCTATCGGTTCTATGGTTATATGAACACTATTAACCATTTCATTGTCATGTGGAAAGAGAAACATTCAAAAGCATCTCTGGTTTTGACATTTTTGTTGTTGATGCAGGATGGAAACCCCTGGTTTCAAAAGTACCACCTACCTCAGCGTCAGAGTCCTTTCATTGACCTTACCCTGCTCCTTCTTCCCTCTGCAGGCGTTCGGCCATGACAGCTTCGACCCTCGACATGGTCACACCACAGAGAACCTCCACCAGACCTTTCTGAAGACCCTGCAAGGGGAGGCTCTGCCCTCCCTCATAGAGACCATGATGGGTCACCTGCAGGATGTCATGCTGAAATCAGACACGCTCAGTCCCAGCAAAGAGCACTGGGAGGTGGACGGCATCTTTGCTTTCTGCTACAAGGTCAGTTATACACCACAGAGAACGTAGAAGAGAACACTTCATGAAGCACAGTTTTCTTCGTCTAAACTTCATTAGCCTCCATGTTTGCAGCAGTCCTCACAGGTGTCTCTACGTCCTGCAGGTGATGTTCGAGTCTGGATACCTGACTCTGTTCGGGAAAGAGTTTGGAGACGATAAGTGTCAGGCTCGGCAGGCAGCTCAGAAAGCCCTGGTCCTCAATGCCTTAGAGAACTTCAAAGAGTTTGACAAGATCTTCCCGGCGTTAGTGGCCGGTCTGCCCATCCATGTCTTCAAGAGCGCCTACAGTGCCAGAGAGGTCAGTCAGAGATCATTATCACCAATCACACGGACTAACATCAACTGTGTTAGTTGATCCTGTTATCAAAGTCATCTTTTCTAACTTACAGAATCTGGCAAAGACTATGCACGCTGACAACCTGTCCAAGAGGGAGAACGTGTCTGACCTGATCTCCATGAGGATGATCCTGAATGATTCTCTGTCCACCTTTAATGATGTGAGCAAGGCCAGGACCCACGTGGCTCTGCTGTGGGCTTCACAGGCCAACACACTGCCCGCCACCTTCTGGAGCCTCTTCTTCATGATCAGGTGAGCTTGCAGCCCTCTTCCTCTCTGGTTTTTAAAGGTATACACTGATTGGGTTAGGGTTAGGGAAATAAAACCTCTTTCACATTAAACATGCTGTAGTTGTTTACAGTCTCTCTTGGTGTTTTCAGGTGTTATTAGCCATCACAGGTAGTTGTCAGCATTGAAGGGAGGATAATTATCCGAGATTATGGCTTTGTTCACAGATCGCCTGCAGCCTGGGTGGATGATGGAGTCTAGGGATATGAATACATCGAGATTCAAACCCATGATATATCATACACATGGCCTGTCTAACTGGCTGCTCTAACTCAGCAAACACACATGATGTTTGTTTGTGGACCTGAAGCTAATGTAGTTAGGTAACATTGCTATGGCAGCATCACAGAATCAGTGGGTTCAGTTGATCAGAGAAGCCCAATCTTCAAAGAGAACAAATCAATGAAGTCCTGAACATTTTGTTAACCTCCTCCCTCACTTTGTCTTCTTTTCAAATATCAGCATGTACCCTGTGTCCTATGGAGCTGGAGGTGTTATATAACATTACTGCACATTTATCAGCTGATTGTACGTCTGACCCTTCAGGTCAGACCTATGAGATAATTGGGGTAGAAAGTTGCCAGGTTCAAGGAGCTGCCTCGCTGGGATATATAACAAGTCTGACATGAGGACATCCCAGCTGGGCTAAGGACAAATTCTGAGAGTTTCCTTGAGTTAAGGTTCCTCTGATGTCCTGATGTTTGTCAGAAACATTCACGCTAAATCAAACTAATTCTTGGCTCTCCTCACCTGTCAGACCTGACAGATCTACAATCCAGACTAGACATTAATAATTGTCACCTCTTCCTGAAACACTTCCTTCAGACTGATGAAATAAAGTTAGACTAGGCTTGGCTGTTAGATGTATTCTAGTAATGGAACAGTAATATCAATCAACACCCTGTCCATCATTTTGGAAACACTTTTTTTCTCTTTGTTTTGGTCTCCAGTGCGCACATGAACAGGGTTTTTGGCCCCTGAAAAAAGAGGTTTTAGAAATGTTTCCATGGTGCCGATTTTTAAAAAACTTGTTTTGTCTGTGTTTTTATCAAGAGCTAAAACTGAGGTTTTGAGAAACATTTACCTCATTGCAAATGTGTATGCCAAAATGGCTAGCTGCCAGTTTGTTTATGCCTGCTCTGTAGCTGAAAATATGCAGTTATTATGATTATATCACAGCCCAGAGCAGTGTTGTTTTCATTGACGATGATGTTGACGAAAATATTTCATCGTCATCATCAACGAAAACAACACTGTAGAATATATGTTTAGTGTTTGACTGACAAAATGCTCATTAATTTTGCAACTCTGTTCGTCGTCCACCACTAACGTTTTCGTTTAGTCTCGTCTCGTCAATGTAAACGCTCATTCATCTTGTCGCATTTTAGTCATCTAAGACTTATGCAAAGCTCGTCAATGTCACGTCTTCGTCATGGAAAAAAAGGGGCGTTGACGAAATATTTTCGTCAACAAAAACAACACTGGCCCAGAGTCAAGTAAATGCAACCTGCTCAATTGTTCTTAATCCTTAATTAACTGTAAGCAGCAAAAGAGTTCATCCAGACACAGCTAAGGGCGGTAAACCCAGCTGAGCTGATTCCAGCTGATGATGGGGATGTTTTTAAGCAATGGAACAGCAATGTCAGTCAACAGTATGGGAATGCTCTCAGTTTTGAAGCCATATTTCATTGGAGGGACCTGGACATGGAGCCTTTGAAGTCTTTGAACTTGATTAAAGTGAAGGACATTATTCCTCAGCTGTAGAGTCTCAGGGCTAACAGGATCCTGTTTCTGCTTTCAGGAGTCCTGATGCCATGAAAGCTGCTCGGGAAGAGGTGCAGAAGGTTCTGGAGGATGCAGGTCTGACAGTCAACCCCAGTAACCCCACACTGAACCTGAGCAGGGAGCAGCTGGAAAACATGCCCGTCTTGGGTAAGGTCTCTTATGATAACAACATTGTTTATAAATAGATGGGTCATCATACAGCGTGAGAATCAAATCAGTTTGTCCTTTTTCAGAGCAGTAAAGACACTTTTTCTCCTCCCCATCCACAGACAGCATCATAAAAGAAGCCATGCGCCTCTCCAGTGCTTCCATGAATGTTCGTATAGCTAAAGAGGACTTCCTGCTTCACCTCGACAACCAGGAAGCTTACCGCATAAGGAAAGATGATGTCATAGCCCTGTACCCCCCTATGCTGCACTTTGACCCAGAGATCTACGAGGATCCATACGTAAGACCCTGAAGATCATATGTTTGATCAGCAAGAAACAAGTGTTGTCTTGCTAAAAATGTACTCTCCTCTTTCCCCTGCAGGAGTACAAGTATGACCGCTACCTGGATGAGAACGGTCAGGAGAAGACCACCTTTTACCGCAACGGCCGGCGTTTACGGTACTTCAACATGCCGTTCGGTTCAGGGGTGACTAAGTGTCCAGGAAGGTTCTTTGCAGTGTACGAGATCAAACAGTTCCTGACTCTGGTGCTGAGCTACTTTGACATGGAGCTGCTGGACCCCGCCATCAAAGTCCCACCTTTGGACCAGTCCCGGGCCGGACTGGGGATCCTGCAGCCCACGTATGATGTGGATTTTAGGTACAAGCTGAAATCCACCTTCTGAACTGTGACCGAGATTGTACATAGTGTATATTAGAGAGATGCATAGCAGCGAATGTAAATAGACTGAATAATATTGTGTTGTTTTAATTTGCTACAGAAGAACATGGACTTTACACTTCTGTTTGTGTGTGTGTGCGCGTGTGTGTGTGTGTGTGTGTGTGTAATGTATATTTAAATTTGAGTGTTTTTAGATGTTCAGCTTATTTGATCTGAGACTTATATGTTGCAGTGAGTGGATGCAGGACCATAAGCGTTCACATCAGCGACGTTTTTCTGTTCTGCAATATTGCAGAATTTATTTTTTCAGATCATGGTCGATTTTTCTAAAGTTTCACATACTGTGTGTCCACTTCTAACCAATCAGACTGCGTGTTGTTGCGATGTCTGATTCACCGGTATATATCCAATATGGCTGACAGGCTAATTGTTTACATGTCGGAGAACAGAGTGCTTTTTGATAAAAAACACAAATATTACAAAGATAACAACCTGAAGGATGGTTTGTGTGCTTTAACAGTTTGCTAAACATCTTTGTTTTAACTTTCATCTGTGCTAAGTAACTTTAGCTCGTAAGCTAACCTGTTCAGATACAACATACCATATGTATTTTCACTGTCTCAAACTCAATCACGTTGCTGTCACAGCACCATTAGGTCTCGGTTGTTACCTTACGTTTATGGATTATAGTTTAATGTGCTTATCTGGTACTGGCCCCGAAATGCTATTATGACAGCCATCTCAACACTAGTGTCTAATCAGAACTGAAAACAGTCAGTCTGGTGTTGTGTCAGTCTTCTCACTTTCATCCAGCACGCGTCTTTTCCCCCCCGGAAAGTCGCAAAATCACATCGGGCTTAATGTGTATAGTCAGGCGAGTCAAAATTCTTCTCTGAATATTTCGTAATTTGGCTTTTTATATTCGCGTCGGCCCCGGTGTGTAAGGACCTGAACAAATAAAAAAACTGCAGTCTGCTCCTTTAGACTCTGGAGCTTCATAAAGTTCATATTTCTGAAGCTTGAAATCTGTGTGAAGACATGCAGTGGGACATGTTGTTGCTGTGTGGAAGTGAGCTCATTCACTTTCTCACCTGCTGCTTTTCCTGTTAAAACTGAGTTTTTTTTATTTATGATGACAACTGTGAACAGATTGGTTTTTAATTACCTCAACTCTTAGGAAGAAACAGAGCTGTTATCATTCATAGAGTCTGTTTTTCCTCTGCTGTCACTGAAACGTGTCTGATTATCAGTCAGTGTTGACCTTCATTGACCTTCACCTGCCCTCTCAGTATCTTAAATGCTATTCTAAATGTAAAAAGCACACAGGACTTGTACTCTGTGTCTCTAAAACAGTCTGCACACAGACACAGACATATGAAAGGCCTCTATGTTCTATAGGTGCAAACTGAAACCACCTGACAGCAGGTGCTCAGAGACAGTCTGGCTGCACCCATTAGGGGCTTGGACCACGCATTAATGCTTTACTTGTTTTAAAGTTGTGTGTTTCTGTCTGAGTGTGTGAGACCTGAAGTTTACTCTGTGAGTATCTCTGAAGAACCAGACTGTAAATACACACAGCTCTACCTTTATTACCTGACAATCTGAAAGTGAAGCCCATGTCCGCGTGAGTGTGTATATATGCTGTACAAACAGATAATAAATCAATGTATTTGTACTCCAGTCTGAGCGTCATGCCCTGATGTCCATACATGCTAAATAAACACATCAGAAAACAGCTGTTCCAAGAACTGCAGCTCTGAACCCTGCAACCCTGCACGCTCAGTTCAACCCCCCCCCCCCCCACCACCACCACACCACACACACACACACACACACACACACACACACACACACACACACACACACACACACACTACCACCACCACCACCACCTCCAAACAGTCAGATACAGCCAATAGTTTACAGCCCTGAAACTTCAGATACACTACAGGCCAAAAGTTTGGAAGCAAGGCCATTACAGGCCGAACAGTTGGGAGTAACTTCAAGTTTTTGTTCACAATGCTTTTTTAAAAATCCAGCGTGAGTTTTATGTATTTTGGGATGTATTTACTCCATGATCAGATGTTGCTTTCATGGAAATGTACCATTTTACTCCATTTAACTTTAGATATACATTGATGTTAACAGACCATTGCTATATATATATCTCAGCAAAAGATAATAAGGGCTTAGTTTTAGGGTTGAAAACATTTGCAAGAGTCACAATTTCAGTGCAAAAGCAAAAAAACAAATCACAGTTGGATTATTCACTTAAACTTTTGGCTTTTGAGAGTCCGCATACAAAAATCCTAATAAATCTTAACTGCATCTAACTACTGCAGAAATGGCTAGAAAGAAGCAACTGAGTAAAGAAACAAAAGTACAGATTTGTACATTGAGGAAAGAAGGATACACAGAAAGAGAAATTGCAAAGCGCCCAAAGGTGTTTAACAAAGGAGTCCACTACACTCTGAAGAGACTAGAGGAACCTGGAAGTTATGATGATAAAAAAAAGACCTGGACGAAAGAGAGTTACTACAAAAGCAGAGAGTCAAAGTGTCTTTAGTAAGTTACTCTTCACACAATAGTCATGTTTATTGTGTTGCAAATTATATTAATGAAACTATGGTCTTTTTTTGTACAAATCTGATCTTGCTTCCAAACTTTTGGCCTGTAGTGTATTTCAAAAAAACACCCAAAATGCAAACATAACGTTAGGTACTGCTTTGAAACACTCTGACAGCCTTAACACACACAAAACAACTTCAACCAGCAAAGCATACAGCTTATAGTCAGGTGCCTTACCACCAACTACTGGATGTCATCCAAAGTATTAACCTATGAGTCATCAAATTACTCATGCATTTCTACTCCTCTAAAAGTCTGACAGAGCTGGAAATAAAAACTTTTGCTGACTGTTTTTCAGGTCAGAGCAGAGACCGTGTATTGCTAACATAAAAGAGTAGTTTTGGACCTTTAAAGAGACAGGTTCACAAAGTAATTTAGTGTACATATCAGTTTGTCTGTGATCCATCTCAACATGTCAGAGCAGGGTCTGGAGCCTTCTTCTGTCTCAAATGAACTACTTTAGCTTTAGCGCTAGTGACAGGATTTCAGCCTCTCTATAGTGATCTGAGTCATTTGACTCAGCAGGATCCCTCTCTTACTGGCCCCAAACATCATTGTTCACATACGACAGCAGACTTTTGGAGCCAAGTTACTAACTCTATACTCTCCACCTCAACATACATCTTTCTGTCATCTGCTTCAGAGCTATGATCCTGCTGGGAAGTCAGGTAATGCAAAATTAATGACTTCAGAGAAAACTGGAGTCAAAGCTAAAAGTTAAAGCCTCTGTGAGGAGTTTTTTTGCTGGACGAGACTGAAATTAATGCTGATGTCCTTTATAACCTAATAAAGCAAAAAAGATCATGCCCCTTTATGATTATTTCTGATGTCTGTATAAACCAGCAGAAGGAACTGTAGGAGGTGCCAGACTTGGGTTCTCATTTATAAACATTGGGCATGCACAAAACCAGGCCTAGAAACGGCGTACGCCACTTTCTGTGTAAACTTGTTATCTCTATGAAAAACAAACTTGATTAGAAAATGTGCACAATCAAACCTTGACCCGTGAGTACACACAATTTGGAGGTGGGGCAAACTTCCAATAAAGGTGGTGAGAGGGTTCAAATTGTTTTTTCCAGGAGTTTTTTAGTGTCTTTAAATGTCATAATAACAGACCCACGCCATCACTTGTGTGAGTTAGCATATTCTATCTGCTCATGTGACTGCAGTGACATGAGATAAAAGCTTGTATTGACATCAACTAAATACTTCATCAGCTGTGTCAGGAGAAAACTGGACCATGTACTGAAAATTTTAAAAATGACATCAACAGATGTGTAACCTCTGTGCAACACGGTGACAGTAAACCCATGAATATCCTGTGATACTGCAACATCACCAAGTGTGACTGTGACTGCTAAAAACTGCTCGGTGACGCACACTGAATGCTCTGAAATCAATCATTTGTACTTATTTGTCCTGTTGATGAGAAGAGTGTGAAGTTAAGCCAAATGGGGCTCTCATACAGAAGCTGTAGAGGCCGATTATGGGACTAGATATGGGTCTTTTTTTATCCAACAGCAGGATTATGTGTCATAACTGACACTGCAGGAGTCATCAAACTAAAAGAGACTACCGTGAGTGCAGTGTCCTGTGTTTTACTGAAACCTGGTTGAATCAAAACAACTCGGACTCCAGTGTGGATCTACCTGGCTTCACTCTTATAAGATCAGACAGAGATGCTCAAGCTAGTAGCAAGAAGAAAGGAGGAGGTCTGGCTTTATCCGTTGACCAGAGATGGTGTAACCCTTCACACAAAACTGTCAAGGAGAAGTTGTCCAGATATTGAAGTGTTGGCAGTTGCTCTTTGGTATGCCTGAGGGAGTTCAGTCATACTTGTATACATGTAGGCTGAAGTTCCTGAAGTGTGATGTTCTCAACGATAGTGTTGCTAGGATACAGACTCAACATCCTGAGGCACTTATAATGATATCAGGAGACTTTAACCATGTAAAGTCTAAAGTCTTAATGCTTCAGTCTGCTAGAGAGGGAGTATAAGGTCGTGTTCACACCTAAAGGTCCGTTTCCTGATTTGAATCCAAGGCAAGACGATACATTTGTTTTGATTGTTTAACTGGTCCGGTTTGCGTTCACAAAGGACAAACTCAATCGCTCCAGAAAACGGAACCAGAAGTCACGTGACCGCAAATATCATTCAGTTATTGGTCATTAGTTTATGCGGGAATACAAACCCCGCTCTGCTGTCTTCACCTGTCATGGAGCATCGTAGGCTGATTTTGCTTTTACTACTCATCTGGAGCGCATATAAAAAGACGCTAGTCAATCGCACGAATGAACGGCTCGTTTGCTAGTGAGCGCGAACTGTGGCATTATTCAATACATTCCGGAGTAGACGTGCTGCAAACAACAGACGAATAAAGACGAGACGGCGACAGGCATTAATGAGAGCCTACCACGACGTGTTTTCTCTCTGGTGTCAATCGGGACAGGTGAGGTGAGCGGACAACATTTCTTTCACAATCAGCATTACAAATAGCCTAGATGTATTGTTTTTAATATTTAAAATTCCTGCCGCTACTCACCAAACAGGCAATGACGTGTGTGGTGCGTTTCCTGTGATTGGTGTGGATGACGTTCACACCAGAAATGAACCGCTCCAGAGTTCACTTGATAGCGGTCCGAGACCACCTCTTCAGGCGGACCAGAGTTCGTTCATTTGGTCCGCACCAGAGTTAGAGGTCAGCATTCACACTGACCCAAACGAACTGCACCAAGGGGGTAAACGAGGGTGGTGTGAACGCACCCTTAAGCACATGGATGCAAGGACGTCTGGACAAACCAGTGATAAAAGCTGGCTCTGTTGAAATTAAGTTGGACTTACTGGAGGATGTGTTAGAGAGATGCACACTGAGGAAGGTGGAGGCTATTATAAAGAGCATGGATCATCTACTTAACATCTTGGTGACCAAACAACAGCTGTGGTGGACAGCGCCTCCTCTCTCTGCAAGACGGAGAGATTCAGAAGATCTTTCGTAACCACAGCCATCAGACTATTTTTAAAGTTGTGTGCAGATGTCATGTTATCTTTGTATGTATTAGCTGTACGGACATATTAAAGCTTAAAGATCAAATCCACCCTGCTTTTACTCATCAATCTTGAAGCACGCTGTTTTTATGACCTGCTGAGTGGCGTGTTAGAAATGCACTGTGTATCACTTCAGCACACACAGAGGGGTGTGTCACAAATACAACACACCTGACACAACTCCCAACCCATATATGTCATTATACTAATACCTGTTCTGCAGATATGATTTATTGAGGTCATTCTTTGAACAACAAAAGACAACACAACAAAAAAATGGAGGAGGAAAAACTGACACAAGATAAATGAAAGAAATGAGTTCAGGACACACAGTAAGATCATTATGACTGACACTAAAAGCTATTTGCATGTTAGTTCATCATTTGAGCTGACTGCATAAATCAATAATTACCATCTTACCTCAATTTCATGTGAAACCTCTGCTCATTTTTAATTTGATGTCAGTGACATGTTTGTAAAAAGTGGCTCCAGGCTCATGTTTATCTCACTGTGCTTGATCAGCTCTTCTTTTACCATCACTCTGTAAACGTTAGTGAACCCAGCAGACCAGATCCTGGAGTTTGTAAGTCAAATGTTGGACTGCAGGTAGACCGGTTTCTCAGCAGGACTCTTTTACTACAGAGCCATGCTGTTGTAATCCTGGCTCAGTAATCCCTGTTGTCAGAATGTGGTTTGTCATTGTCTTGCTGAAATATGAAGGTCCTCTGAAAACGTCTTTGCCTGGATGTCAGCAGATGTTGCTCCTAAACCTGTAGATATTGTTCAGCATTAATGGAGCCTTCATAGATGTGGAAGATACTCATGACACACATACTGATGATCCACATGCCATCAGGGATGCTGGCTTGGGACTGAGAACAAGCCCTCTACTTTATAAAGTGAAGGATGCAGCATAAGTAAGTAAGTAAGTAAACTTTATTTGTATAGCACTTTTCACAGACAAAAGAGTTACTAAGTGCTTCACATAGACAAAAAGTAAAAATGTACATACAAATTAAAAGGCCAAGACAACAACATTAAACAGTCATAGCAGCCCCAAA